GTTCGTTCTAAACGTTGTTAGTTTGTGACCGCTATTCACCCAAGCTTTTATGACCGCTCCGTTCCTAAAATGAGCTTCTTTCAGTTGTCGAAACAAGTTTTCAACGTAATCAATGCATCCAGAATGGTTTCGGCAACCTCAAATTCGCCGATTGTTCAAAATAGTGTTTTGGAAATTCCAGCAGCTGTTCGTGGAATGCTAGATCTGCGAAAGGAAGCGTTTGAGTAAGAATTTGAGCTTCGTTGCTAATGAATAATCTTAATAGTGGAGGAAACATATTACAGTTACTAGAGGAAGGAAAAGGCGCTAAATTTGATGTTGGGGCAGGGTACAGAATCGTGATGTGTGTAGATATGACCCCCGCTCCGAGGGAGGGTGTCGATACGACCCCCCCCCAAATGAGGGTCTCGGTATGACCCCCCAATACCTACCTACCACCTTCCCACATCTTCCCGTTTTTCACCCAAGAATTTCCGATACACATGAAACAATAAAAATCACATAAAAGTCACCAACCGGGAAAAATTTGCGCCATTTAGACAGACATTTGAAGAAGAATATTACAGTTTGCAGAACAAATATCACATTGCCTGCATTGAAGGTGGACGCATCAAAAGTATCCATTATTCAAGGGAAAGTGCGATTGGAGAAGTACCTATTCAAGAATCTTGGTAGGATAAAGGTTAGTGACTAGAGTGATTCGTCTTCCTTCAGAACATTTTCACGAGGCGCAGTTCGGTACGGGGGAGAGGGGCATTTAGCACTTTAGCCTCTTCTCATCGACGTGTCAAGCAATCTGAAGGCCTGTGAAATCTTGTGAAGCCACGAAATGATACCAGCCAAAGTTTGTTTAGACCTTGACTCTTGCAAATAGTACCTGTCAGTTCTTGCAAAGCAAGAAAATACCATGGTGGCTCGACGAGCTTGCTCCAGCTTCACAAGAGTTCACAGGTTTCACCAGAGTGAGACTTGTAAACCGGAACTAGTGAAGCAGCGAAAGTGCAAAATGCCCCCCCCGTCGCCGAACTGCGCCTTTTCACCACTAGTCATCTTTAGAATATCATGAATGCGGAGGACTCAAAACATAAGCTATTTATATTCAATCCTAACGAAGTACAAGAAGACTCTGCGGAACTGAAATCCCATATTGAATCTATGATCAAAGAGTATACCGGTGGTGAGCTCTCTTACTTGTCAGCTGGTGCATCCTTTCCGGTGGAAACAATCTTTTTCAGAGATCACCTTGCAATGGAAAACCATAAATTTGCCGGTAACATTCCACGATTGGGACGTGAGACGAATATTGAAAGCTGTACTTCCAGACGACTTAGATTTTAGGTATGAGTTACAGTTTAGTGTTTTTTCCTTCCTCTTTTTCCCTTGTTTGTTTTTTACCCGAACACTAAGCGAAACTTGACAGCGCGCGGCAGGTGAGCCTTCCACCATTGATCCATAGATGCACCAAAAGTGTGGGTTTCAAAATTAGGGGCGCATGTAGAGGTCGTCTCAGACGGTGAGACAGGGTATCGTCGTCAAACAAGGCGATAGCCTTTCTATAGTAGGCTTTAAGAAGGAGGAGGAAATTTCGGTTGAAAGATGGGACAATGTGGAATATCCTCCTCGCGAGTCTTTTTCGTTGATGTATTAGGCTCTAAAAATGACCAAAATTATTCTGATTTTTCATTTCAGCAGCTACAGCCAAGCTGGTCACATTGTTCACGTTAATTTACGCGAGAACTTACTGCCTTTCAAAAAGATTATTGGTCAGATTTTGCTTGAAAAAGTGTCAAAGTGCAGGTGAGAATCCGTTTCCGTGTTATCGTGATGGCTCGATTCAAAGGTCGGAACGCGTTCATAATTCCCGATCGGATAGCCTGGATCGCGCCGTCGGATCGCTCGAGCGTTTCAATCGCGCGGCCAGGACCGGGGGCGCTCCACGCTAATCGCTTGAGCAGTAGGATGGCGAAGTATGAACGTGCTCTCAGGTCGACTGAAAGCAGATGATTTTTAATTGTGTGGTTTTTAACCCCGATCTCCATTAACTTCGTTAGTTGTGGAATTTTTGACCTGAGCTTTCAATTATTCTGTTTTTCGCAATCTAAATAGCGCCTTTATAAGGCAGCACAACTGAGGGATGGCCTGCGCCCTCCCACCAAGACGATGATCTTTTTCTTCCCTTCATCCCAACGGGCTCATCAATTCAGCTTGGAGACGACCAGACCTACCGCGCCTCCATTTTTCTCCTCATCTGTACCCTCTACCTTCAAATCTTAAGAGATTGAGAGATTTCTGACTCATTACTTCTCCTGTAACTGTTTCGAATAAAGCTCTCTCAAGTTAAGTCTTTTATTTCACCGAGAGATGGAACCTCACCGGGGACATGCTACAGTTATGCTGTCTGGTTATCAAATTTAGCCACACTTTTTCCTCCTTCATGTTTCATCAATTTCTTCTTTTTCCTTCTCTTTCAACATCTTGTTCAGAACGGTCGTCAACAAAATTGATGGGATCAAAAGCGAGTATCGAAATTTCGAATTAGATCTCTTAGCTGGTGATGAAGACTACATTACGGAAACCCTCGAAGGAGGTGTGCGATATCGGCTCGATTTCTCCAAGGTATGTTCTTCTGCAAATAATTTAATTCGGATAAAGATAAATTTTCATGAATTTTTTCTATAGTATCAACAGACTGGGGAGGGTGGGTAGTGAGCGCAGGTCGTGCCATTGGGCAGATTTTTCGCAAAATACGGCTTATCCTCTCAAGATTTCCCCCTACGAAGTGCCCTGAGTGAAGGAGTCTAGGCACTCTCTCGTCGAGGCAGCGCTAGCCCAGTGGCTTTCCTCGTTTTCACCTCTAGTCTTAGAGAGCAAGGAGTCTAGCCCCCACTGATCGCCCCAACATTTGAAATGCACCCCCTCCTTTATTTCATTTACTGTTTCAGGTGTTTTGGAATTCTCGCCTCAGCCACGAACATGAGCGGGTGGTGAAATTGTTTGATTCTCGCTCTTTAGGTATCCTTTTTTCTTTGATTGAGCTGTAGTTCTTTCTATTATTTGCAAAAAAGCAGATTTTAGCTTTTTGTAGTCTATGATGCGTGTGCTGGAGTGGGTCCATTTGTCTTGCCAGCAATAAAGAAGGGACGCGCTTCACATGCATTGGCTAACGATCTCAACCCAGAAAGTGTGCGTTGGTTGAAGGAGAATGCAGTACTCAATAAGGTGCTCTACCTGATAAGAACTTTTTTAATTCGCAGTTATATTCTAATTGCATTTTCAGTTCATTAGTGGTGATAGTCTCCTTGTTCAGATTCCTTCTGCGAAGTTGGAAATCCACAATCTGGACGCAACCGCTTTCATTCGCGGTCCTCTGGCGGAACATCTAACTAAAGTGAGTTTTTAGCGAGGTTTTTTTTCCTCGGCTTTGTTCGGCTAGAAAAGGGCATTTTGCACTTTCTCTAACTCCTTTCGTTAGCTCATGTTATATAACAGCTTTCCCTTTGGTGAGACCTATGAACTTGTGTGAAGCTGCAAAATGGTGCAAGTGAACCACTATTGCCACTATTGTCACGGGAATTTACAGGTCTTCGAGGTGGCCTGTACAAGCTTACCTGAATACTATTTGGTGCCCCACCTAGCCAGACTGCGCCTTTTTTTCTATTTCGAAAAGTGTGAGTTTTCTTTTTAGGAGATCGGTAATGCGGAAACGTCAGAAAGCCCGCCGTCAGGAGCCCATGTGATGCTGAACCTACCTGGTTTCGCTGTCAATTTTCTCCCTTCGTTTCGAGGAATGTTAACTGAACATTTCCCGGCAGAGTTTTCATCCACATTGCCTGTGAAAGTATACTGCTACCTTTTTGCCAAGGTAAGTTGTTTTTCACTGTATTGGTGATATCTAGAACCTTGTGAAAACTATTGTAAAGAATTAGTTTAGAAAATGGGTGTGCGTCCGTGGTCCAGCCCTCCCTTTCTACACATGTCTTATGTCTTTGCTCGAATTTCCCCTGGTGAAGGAGTATCAGAAGATCATCATCTTGATCATCAGGCAGATCTAAACTAGTTGACTAGCGATCGGCATAGCTAGAAGGTTTTTTTGTAGTACTCTATACTCTAGGTGCACTTTAATTTCGGACATTACGGCGAAACCAGACCTCGCCTACTGCTTGTTTGGCGCTTCGTGAGTCTGAGTCTGTTGTGTAAGGAATCACTATCTCGGTCGAAGGACGCATGTGAACACACTTGTCCCCTCCCGTCCTCTCCGAACTTCTAGTAGCTTGGGATTGAAGTGCTATTCGTGAACCAGATGGTGCTAAGGTACTGGCGTCAGTATAGGGGAGGAGGGGGGCGGCAGCAGCACGCACATGTTCCGCTTACCAAATGCTCGGCTTAGCAGAGCGCAGACAACTAGAAATGGCTAGTCTTGCACCATGCGCCCCTCTTCGGCATCCGCCTAACCGTGATTGCCGAGCTACTTTCTCTTTTGAATATCCAGCGTTTTTCCATGTGTTTATTCCAGGCACACGAGGATGTACCCGATGACTGGTATAAGAACCGAGCATTAGAGATGGTTCGGGAATTCCTGAACGAAGATGAAGCCCGCATTGACTTAATCCATCATGTGAGAACTTTGTTTCTCCCTTTGCTCGACAGCTTCCTTTTCGAACGGAGGGAATCAGTAATTTTTTCCAGGTGCGTACCGTTTCTTCACGGAAGGAGATGTTCTGTGTCCAGATGACCTTGTCCTGGAATTTGCTGGTCAGTAAAGAAGGAGACCATAACCTGAAGAGGAGCCACTCCGAGAATGAAGCAGACTCTGATTCAACTAAAAAGAGCAAACTAGGTGCTGATTGCATTCTAGAACTTTTTTATTTAGTTTAGAGGTTAGAACAACTGGGAATCGCTGTTTTCCTGGTAGATTGTTGTTGTATGAAGGTCAGAGACTAACTGAAAACGGGTTGCAACGCTACTCACGGCGCTGTTCGGCTTGGGAGAGGTACCTCAAGCCTGTTGCTAATTCCTGTCAGAATATACTTTCATCTTGATGAGAACCTTATGTTAGACTCCTGTCGAGTGTAGGCGATGCAAATGTTATTGTACAGCGTTGCAGGACTTTGCAGGTCTTCACCGGAGGCGTGGGTAGAAAACAACGAAAACCAGTTAGGTTCCCCCCCCCGCCCAAGCCGAACTGCGCCCACTCACCTTTTGTTGTTGATTTTTTATTGTTATTTTGCAAATAAATTTGTTATAGATTGTTTGTAAATAACTTGACATATTCATAGTGAAGTCACTAAAAGCTATTATCTGGTCTATGTTCAGCTACTGTGATCGACTTTCCCTTAATAATTTAGATCGATTGACTAATTTGTCAGAGATGAGACAATAGTAGAGGAGCCTACTCTTCTGCCGATGATTTCAACCGCACGTAGCGTAGGCCGGACCATTTTATCATGGCAGAATGTGAAGTGAGTCTCTTGTGTGGTCTATTCTAGTCTCCGTTCGTAAGCTACAGTCTTGTTCGCTGTGGAGGGAGGGGCGTGTCGGTGAGGCTGGGTGTGGCGCGCCACCAGCTCGTTCTCCCCTAGTTGTTGAAGCAAGTAAACGACAACAGTTAGTGGAAAACGTTTGATACGAGCGATATAATACAGTCTTTTTGCTCGCCGAACGAAAAAAGCGAGCTGGCATTGCGCCAAGCCCATCCCCCTTGACACGCCCCATCATTCATAGTGGAAGAAACTGTAAGTTCTTCTGAAATGACGGTATATCAGTGACCTTATACTTTTTAGATCCATTCGTTGCAGCTTACGCATGCGCGTAAAAAGTATAGCTTTGCTTCCTTCAAAATCTATAGTATCAGACGCCGTTTAGCAGAATATTTCTCAAATAAGTTAGTTTAGACCTTTTGATTCCTTGCTCCGGGGAGAATATGATTTTACCGTTCAGGTTCCACGAACAACGCGTAAACGAAATAGGACCAGATCTTGCATGTTTGGAATGGTTGATGGAGTGTGGATCAACGGAGGTTTGTTCCTGCATGTCCTACAAGCTGTCGATGTACGGAATCTACGGGCGTCGTTTTCAGATCGCTTAGCAGGGATGTACAGTGTTGTCCGCTGCGGATGTTGTAGCATGTGCGGGGAAGGGGTGGACTCGGCGCGGGGTTCCAAACCCAGCTTCCTCCCTGACGCGTCCCAGCATCCATAACGGCAAGACTCTAGGAAACTCCAACAGCTCCCTTCTCCTTCAAATGACACCCATAAGTTCATGACAGCTGTAGGAATTCGTTGCACCAGACCCGTTTTCTGCTTGTCTGCGCCCTCGTCCGCTTCAGGCGATCCCGTAGAACAGCATGCCGTTCAGAGATCGGGGAGGAGTCGCAAAAAAGCATGACCTAACTTCAGTTCCTTCCTTCCTCGCTCCAGTGTCTTCTCGTCAGAATCTGCGTGGAAGTATTTCCCGTACCCCGTTATCGCCACAACGAGCCATTTGCATGTGTTGGCTACCTTTGTCCCGTCTAGAAGGAGTACCCATGTTTTATGCGGGAAGTCTACACTATGTAAGTGAATAATGACATTAACTTGTTAGCTTATTCCGCGACTGGTGGGGTATTCGCGTTCTCGTTCCCAGTTACGTCGAGAATTGGTTTGGAACGAATAATCAAAGCTTTTTCACCTCGTTTTTCACTATTCTTGGTTGAATTTTCGTTGTTCAGGTAACCATGAGCGATAATGAACGGATAACATCTATTCGTCATATGAAAAATTACATCAAGGACAGGATAGAAGAAAAGGTAAGCTTATTTCAGAAGCGGGTGTCGAGATCAATCCGAAACGACTAGTGATATGATTAAACTGAGCTGAGAGGGTAAGAACGGCCCCGGAGAGTCGGACTGCGCGCTCGCCCGGTCAGCGGGAGAAGCGGATTTGAGCTCGTCTGGGCTCAGACTTTACCCATAACCCAGCAATCTTGTGATAACTTTCGGAGTGCGAACTTCGGTGCTAAACACCCTTATTATACATGAAGTGGAATTTGCTTGTA